GCGGCCACTTCCGTTGGTCTTGCAGTATTCAGCGTCAGCTTGTGCTTCCAAACTATCAATAGCAAAATTGCTCTCATCGCTCATTGCAACGACATTTTCCTCGCGGGCCTTTAGCACATCCATTCTTGTTTCTGGCGTCTTGTTTTTATTTCTTCGTTGCTGTGCTTTGCTGACGCCTAAGGCGTGTCGCCGAAATTGCCGGCGTATGGAAATGCATGGTCGGGTCGCTTGAAACTTGATGGCTCCACGAGCTTGAGAGCAATCAATTTCCTCATTACGTCCTTGTGATTGCATTCGTCTCATAACTGGCATTTTTGAGGCTCAGTTGCCGCTTCTGAACTTAACCGTCATAGAAACGCTTTCTGTATATTTGCAATCTGACAAACGAGGCGTATTTATCGTGGCGGAGTGGTTTACTTTATCGGATTTCCCCCGGCCTACTCGTCTTCGTAAATAAGCCAATGACCAGCTTGTTATCCTTTATGCCTGAAGATTCCTCCAGAGCCGACATCTGGGTGAGGCTGATCTAAAAAAAGTACCATATAAAACCCAAGAAGCTGCGCAACACGTGTGACAGCATCATGCGTCACTATTTCCCAGTCGGGATGCCGTAGACATAGATGAAACATCGTTTGTGCGAAACATAGCTGCCGGCATGCATTTCATTCATCACCAGACCGTTGCCATAATAAGTAATCGCTAGATGGATGAGCAAACTTATAACAGATTCCGTCACTCCATATTGCGCTGCTTTGAGAGCGTTCTGAACACCAGAGAGATATTTTTAAACACGGAGTGTCGTTCAACGGATGTTCTTCACATCTTACATCATCAGCGATCGCTCGTTACCACCTCGCGGCATGCCATAGCTGGCGATCCGAAGGGAAGTTGTAGGGAGCAGGGCTCGGGATTTCTAATACGGGGAAAAGATAGCAGCAGGCCTATGCGTGCGCACCAGGCGCTCTTACCCAAATAGATCTGCAGACTTTGCCCTGAGAAGAGACCCGTCTTGAGACGCGCATGATTAGCTATCTCCACCCCCCCCCCCTCTCTCTCTTTCTGAGGACTCTCCCCTCCCAGAGTGTCGGAAATAACTTTCAATCCGTACCTGATACGGCCGTCGAATTACCAGCACCCATTGCATGATCGGTCTGACACCTTTTGAGGCAAAAAAACAATGTCACGCACTGCGAATGCCTAGCATACAAATCATTGTATGAATAAAGAACATCGCCTACGAACTTTTGGATATGTGAAGATGTGCGAGTGTGGGATGTTGTCAATGAAAATGCGAGGCGCCGCGAAGCAAGAGCATTTTGGATGCCCGTTTCGAGCGCGCGCCCGACGGTTGGGTCCCCGGCCCTTCCTCTGAATGGTGGATTTGTCCCGGGTCACGTGCGTCTTCTGCCCACTGGTCGCGCTGTATGTGCTCGCTAGTGGCGCAGACCGGGTCGCGCACGTCTCTTGCCCACTGGTCGCGCTGTATGTGCTCGCTAGTGGCGCAGACCGGGTAGCGCACGTCTCTTGCCCGCTGGTCGCGCTGTATGTGCTCGCTAGCGGCGCGAACCGGGTCGCGCACGTCTCCTGCGCCACTTGTCGTGCCGGATGTGCTCGCTAGTGGCGCAGACCGGGTCGCGCACGTCTCCTGCACCACTTGTCGTGCCGGATGTGCTCGCTAGTGGCGCAGACCGGGTCGCGCGCGTCTCTTGCCCACTGGTCGCGCCGGATGTGCTCGCTAGTGGCACAGACCGGGTCGCGCACGTCTCTTGCCCACTGGTCGCGCCGGATGTGCTCGCTAGTGGCGCAGACCGGGTCGCGCGCGTCTCTTGCCCACTGGTCGCGCCGGATGTGCCCGCTTGTGGCGCAGACCGGGTCGCGCACGTCTCCTGTCCCATTGGTCGCGCCGGATGCGCTTGTTGGCGGCGCAGATCTAACGTCACTGTACCATGACCCGCTAAAGTTAAGCTAGGTTTTATGAAGGTGGGTTTTGATCGCGTGCACTGTTTCAGAGCGCTCCTGCCGTTTTCCCGCCGAATGGCCGCTACAGCCCGCGCAAAGAAGCGCTGAATGTGTGTAAAGCGGTACGATGACGGTGTTCCCATTTGCTCTCTTAACATAAGCGGCTCCAATTGGCATTAACACACGCTCGGTTGGGAGGGGTCTATTTGGCCCGCAAAAGCTTTTTTCCGGAATGATATCAAGAAGACGCCATGTAGCCACGCCAAACGTTGCAAAGCTATAGGCAATTAAGTAGCGGTTCTGTTGGTATAAAAACTAGATGTATCTTGTGACGTCACTGATCTATGGAAGGTCATGATCAGGACACGGCTGTCAGCGAAGATAATTTCTAGGTATTCGTTCAATCTCATGCGATGACAGAGTGTTGGATGAAGCCATGCATCTCTGGAATAGTTTGTTAGGTAATTTAGCAACTGAATGATCGAATTCAGAGTTACAGCAAATTTCACTAACCAAGGGTCAGTGTAAATTGGCTGAACGAGTTCACATACAGGCTAGCCCACTGTGTGAATGTAGTGTCTTTAGCTATCTTGTATTTAGCATCCCACGCGAGCGATGGGTATTCATCCGGCTTCGCTGGCGCGTGTGAAGCTGGCCCCCGGCGTTGATTCGAATTAAATCATGTAAACACCCGCGCTGTGCTCGGCTGGTTCGATTCACGCGCGAGCCGAAATCACATGAGAGGATCATCCGTTCAGGAGGCGATTATGTTCCAGCCTGGGGTGGGGAGGCTGCTAAAAGCATATTCATTGTGCGTGGCGCTGATAACCGAAAAGTGCATAGCACGTGTAGTTCTGTTGCAGTTGGCAAGCTTTTTGCTCAGGACGATTGAAAATGGAAAAGAAGAGGGACGGGAATAACGGCGAAGAGCTGTATGTGCTCGCTAGTGCGGCATGCTGGAAGTGGAGGCGGAGTGCACCAGTATGGTGCACTCCACCAGGCTTACCAGGCTCGCATGAAGTCTTGGTCTTGCGTGATCCACTCTCTCACATATTTCTTCTGCCACGATCCCCGCACAATCCTCCCTCTTTCTAGCTCTTCTCCACGAAGTGACTGTGGCACCGCGACCATTTGTCGCAAAAGCGTAATTCACGCCCATAATCCCTTCCTCGATTCGAACGATCCAAGGTCAGATCACCGGCTGGTAAGGCTTTCGTCCTTATAATCACCTCGGCCAGGAGTCCACAGCCGGATTATCCCTTTCGGGTAAAACTCAAGGTTCCCTTGGTCGCCTAAGCAGCGGGTAATTGACCCAATTCTCGGAGGTATCGGGTTAGTTGGGCTTTGCTCGCATTTGGTGCGTCGTTTTTATTCGCATAAGAAGATTTTGCCCGCTACATTAGCCGCACTGATGACAGACTCGCGTGTGTGCATACAGCGGCTCCAAACAAACGCTGGAGACCTGCAATTATGTAGGTAACAGTGAAGCGCTGTGTAACTTCGTGTCGCCTTGAGCTGCAATGGCAATATAGACACAAATATTTGGCAGGAAAAGTTACAAAGAAAGACCGTCATAGCTACGAATATAATGGAGTTCGGTTGATTGTTTTGCCATGATTTGGAGCGCTGCTTTCGGTCCGGTTAAGTGCGTGGCTGTTGATCTGACCTATGTAGCTGTTGGCTGCCATTTCAATGGGGATACCACGAACTTTCCCTTTTGGTACTCAACTGTACACGGTTTAATCGAATCACATATGTCTGCTTGCACGTAACTTTATGTGATTCGAGTCATTGCGTGGAAATGAGTGGGTGCTATTGATAGCAAGCTGAATATTTTCCACGGAAATATTGAAATATGAAGAACGTTTATTGGCCACAAAAAATGCAATAGGTTTAATTCCTATAAGATAAACTGCGCCATCAATGCTGGTCCAAACTATTGCTCTGAAAGACATGGATCCCGCCAAGCTTTTGAGACCCATCGCAATGGTGATGCTTTGATGCTTCGTTTTTTCTTCCAATTACGCTCAGCGTTATTTCACTTCATGTTAAATCCGTTCAGATTGAAAAGACAGAAAACCACTCACGCTCCAACGACTGACGTATAAATATTCCTAAGTACCGTAATTCAGCAATACTGCAACTGCATGCTGCAAGGGCGTACAAATAGTGGTGAAAAGCATGTTAGTGTGAGAGATAAGAGCGAGCTGCTAGCCCGGGAAAGGCTCAAGAACTAACGAATTTTCTCTGCACTTTAAGAAAGCTCATTTGATCTACGTCCTTGCATTACATAAATAATCTAAGATATGAATTGATTCACAGCACAGATTTCTTTCACATCCGAACATGATTGAGCCGAAAATGCAAATAACTAAAAAAACATGACATATCCAATCCATAAGCCTGAGCTCAGACAAGCGTAGCAATGATGGATGTTTTCGTGCTGTCGGCTCACTCCTGCACGCGTTATTCGTGGTCAGATCCCTGCTACGACCATTAAAGCAGGTGGTGCCACGCGAGCCCTTGGGGCATATTTATGTCAGGAGGAGCCCCATCCGATCAGTCTCTAGACGTGGCTCCGTTTATACCATATGCCGAGAAATGATCGTTGTGTGGGCGGAGCTAGAGCGAGGGTCATGGCACCGGCGATGTCAGACTAGCGGCCTAACTGCCCCGCTGATCGGCCATATCTCGGCCTTTCGTATTTTCCGGATCACAACCACGCCGAAATGCAGAAACGTATCTTGAGCAAAATGCGCTGCAGTGCATGGGGTAGTATCGTAATTTCGAACTGCTGGAGAGGAAAACACCAGGGCTATGGCTCCATTTCAACTGGACTGCAGTACCTATCGTTGCCTTTGTAAAGACCTGCGCATTTACACGCGGCAAGCATCAGAAAAAAGCGTCATAGCTTCATTCCCATGTTTGTCAGACAGCCTCTTCATGCAGTCAATTGTTTTGATATGTAAAGGCACCAGAGTTCCTAGTGACTTGTGGGGTTTCCAAACTAGCTTGTGAATGAAGCATGATTATGTACCATATCCCTGCACCGCACGCTTCCTATTGCTGCCGGTGGCGCACGCCCGGCTGGCTGCAGGGCGCGGCGCTGTGCGGGCAGAGGCCACCAGCGGCGTTCACAGTCGCTGGCCCGAGGGCTACACCACGGACACAACATGCCTCCAATCTCGTCGTTCACTACACTAACTATGGGGACAACTGGTCACAACTGTTCCAAACACCAACAACAACTGTGGGCATCACTCATGTCAGCTAGCCTCGTCCCCGTCGCTGCTGCGGGGGGCTTCACCGCACACGCCGTTCCTGTCGCCGCCACTCATTCTCGTTCACTGCGCTGCCGCCGTGGCCGCCGCACGACCTTGGCCAGGCGCGTCCGCCGAGAAGCCGGCCGGGCAGTCTGGCATCCGAGCCGGGTGGGAGGCAACGAATTCGGGCCGCTGCAGCAGCGCATCCTGCAGCCGACTGATGGTGGGGAAGCGACTGACGTCGACGCCGAAGCGGCGGCGCGCGTTGAACACCTGCGGTACCAGGCAACAGTCGGCCAGGCTCAGCCGGTCGCCGACGCAGCAGCGGCCGGCGCAGCAGGCCAGCACGGCCTCCAGCGCCTCGAAGCCGCGCTCGATCGCCTCGCGACCCCAGGCGAGGCCGGCGCCCTCGCCGCCGATCTCGTTCAGCCGGCGGAAGGCGCCCGACTGCACCGGCTGCATGCCCGAGTTGATCATCTCGCAGATGTTGCGGACCTGGGCGCGCTGCGCCGTCTCGCTGGGCAGCAGCGCCGGCGTCGGGTACTTCTCCTCCAGGTATTCGAGCATCGCCAGCGACTGCGTCAGCACGAGGTCGCCGTCCACGAGAACGGGCACCTGGCCGAGCGGGTTCACCCGCAGGAACGCCGCGTCACGCTGCTCCTGTGTCAGCAAGTTCACCGCCACGTATTCGTGCTCCACACCCTTGGCCTGCAGCACTACCCGCACGCGCCACGCGCACGAGCTCATGAAGAACGAATACAGCTTCATGGTCTCTGTCGGGGCGGGGTGGCGTGGACTGACGCGCTGCGCTCCGGCGAAGAGGGGCCGTCGCCGCTCACTGATGCGGTCAGTCACGGTGAGCCAGACGCCATCTGCCCCGAGTCTGAAGGTCGGGCGGCGACTCGACAGATTAGGCGTGGCGCGTGGGGCTCGCGGGTACGGCAGGGGGAGATGGAGAGGATGGCAAAAGGCGAGAGAGAGGATGAGATGAGAGTGTCCTGTAAAGGCCTGAGAGCGCTCCGTTAGAGCATGAGATGCGTATCTCGTTTGGCCTTTCAAATATAAGTAACAGATGGCCCACCAATCAGCGACGGGCGGACACCGGACATTTGGCTGCGGCAACCTCGTGCTTCTGTCTAGAGTTGTGCACAAAATGCTTAGTGTTGTGGGATGGGGCCTTCCTCCTTCAAGCAGAACGAGCGGCGTCCAATTACTGCTGCCCGATGAACAGCAGGCACCTTAACGAATGGCTCATTGGTGGAGTTATCCTGTGTCAGAAACGAAACGACGAATTACGCTCTAACACCAATGTAACTAATATCTCACCATACTGGTTTTAATGCACTGACTGTATGTTTTGTACGCTCTAACACCAATGTAACTAATAACTCACCATATTGGTTTTAATGCACTGACTGTATGTTCTGCACGCTCTAACACCAATGTAACTAATATCTCACCATATTGGTTTTAATGCACTGACTGTATGTTTTGTATCTGTGTGAGGATCCTTTTCATATCATCGCAGTTGATATCCTTGTATCTAGCCTTGTATCCCTCGTGGTATCCCTTGTATCCTTGTATCTAGCCTTGTATCCCTCCCAATACCTTTGTATTGTTAACTAGCAGGAATGCTGGCGATGCTCCGGTAATGGAGAGTGTTATACTGCGAAGAACTTGCTATTTAACGTAGTCGTAATCTGGTTTATGATCCGAAATGCATCCCAGATACCTGCGTGTTCGTATTTGTACTTATTTCTAATAGTTGGACACGTTCCAACGACATTTCCGGCTGCAAATTACATGCTGGAGCAAAACAGTTAATACACTCTCAAAAAACTATGCCACCGGATGCTTATCGTCAAAGAAGTCAACTGGAAATGGTAACATGCAATCTGCAGAAGCAAAACGCTAGTCTCAGTAACACAGTTGGCGATGGGCTAGGTTGGAATGGATAACGGTGTACGTTGCGGCTCTGGTACAGTTTGATTTCTGCGTTACGGTGTTGCTCTGCTCGACAGGAAATTGGACCTGTCTGAAGTCAAATGGCATGTGTAATGGGACCAGCTAGATTATTGGGATGAAGACGTGGGCCCCCTTGGCTTCGTTGTCGTAATGGTCGCCATTGCAGAGTTTGGGGTCCAGGCATGGTAGGAGCATGATCACGCGCCTTCCCTGAGCGTCAGGGGTGTAATGGCATTTATGGCGGCTCCAGGCTGCCCACAAACCGCCATGAGTAGTTAATAGCATCCTCTGGCTCTGGGTCACCAACTTTTCACTAATTTGCAGGTCACGGACTGTCCGCTGACTGGCAGGTCACTGACTGTCCACCGAGTGGCAGGTCACCGACTGTCCACTGACTGGCAGGTCACTGACTGGCAGGTCACCGACTGCCTACAGACTGGCACGTCACCGAATGTCCACCGACTGGCAGGTCACCGACTGCCTACATGGCAGGTCACCGACTCTCTACCGACTGGCAGGTCATTTATTGTCTTTCCACACTACTTCTCCAAAAGTGTGCGGTTCTTGTAATCAAAAACGAAGTTCTTCGGTGCTATGATGACCTGTTCGCTACGCCAGGTTGTCTTAGCAGCCCTGTTCACAAGGCACAACTCGTTTAAGCCACCTCATGTGACTTTTGGTCGGTGGCTTATTTGGTCATCTTTTCATTCGTTTTTTTTCCATTTGGTCCATTTGGTCCTCTTGCTAGATTTTACACATCAGTTAGTTAACATGTTACAGAAAAGGAACTTTCAGGTAGCTTGGAGCAATACATAGCCATTCGCCAGGAATCACAAGTAGTTTGTTTTCCACAAGTCCCATCTTGAGAGATTTTAATTGCGGCGTTGTAAGCAACTATGAAATATGCTAATGATCCTAAGCAGCGGCCACGATTTGTTGTTGAGAAGGTTTAAGACACAGATTTGCTCACGTCGAGTGGACCATGAGGCCCAGATACCGTTGTGATTTAGCTCACTGTTGAGCTTTTACCTCCCGGGCTATTACCCAACAATCTTCCATCTCTAAACCAGCTGTTGTCGAGATCGAAGTACGTGGGCTTATTGTTTCCGAGGGGGTTTTAAGGTGGGAGGAGCGGGGGGGGGGGCGATGCGTGGTGTGTGGAGTTTGAATTCCTGTTTGGATCAGTATTTCCGTGCGGTATGTCTAGGGTGCGGGGTGGATACTTGACAGTTGTAATCGCCAGGTAAACTACAGGGTTTCTCCTGGAGACGCTTGCACGGTATGATGCTTAGGGGGGGATGTGTATTCTGCCGTGCTTGCTGTACTATCCCCCATTCATTTTTGGCCCAAATTTGTTCTTGAGGGCCCTGATACCGCTAAATAATTTTTTTTCAATTAGGAACGGTTAAATATCACAAGGCTTAAAACTGAGACATTCGTTGACAATGAATTATATACAGTAGTGCAGTAGCTCAGGCAGGTGAAAACAAATCATCATTGACACATGATTATAACGGAATCAAAGCCATGAAAATAAAAAGAAGAATATAACGAATACAAAGAGTAAAAGGTGGGCAGCTACCCCACCTCACGTAAAATGTGTCATTATCCTTATGGGCTCCATGAAGTAATAGATCAGGTAAAACTGCCAGTAACTGCTTTAGATAGGCACCATGTCACATTCAGGGTTTTTTTTCGCTGACAGGCATCTCAAAATATTGATAAATTGCGGCGAGGCAGTAAATGAGATCAACATTTTACTAGAAACACTGATTATTCGGCCGTCGATCATAGGCTTAAGCACGCAGCATTCGCTCAAACAAAATTATATGCATCAGCAATTTGGGAGGAACGTAGTCGCTCGAACAAGCCAGATTGTTCCAGGCTTCTTTATCTGGTTGTTTAGGAATTCTGAAATCGAGGCTCGAAGTCGCTCGCCTTCTCGTTTAGGTTTAAGGTAGGGGACAGCGTTTGCACGCCCCCTACCTTACAATGCGAGGTCCAGTGCGACCTTTGCTAGCCATCGTCATTGCTCTCGTCGATAAGTTTCCCAAATGGCCTCGTGATTTAGATATTTACATAAGGCTAAATGAATTATTACAGTTCTAATCCACCTAGAACGAAAGAAAGGCATCTTCACGTTTCTTTCTGTTTACTTGCATGTCTGGCTACCGCCTAGTGCCTCATCCGGCTCGCGCGCTTCTCTTGCGCTATGCACACGACAATGTTGAAATGCGCATATTTTCATATGCGCATATGAAATGCGCATAGCGCATCTCGTGCGCTATGCACTATGCGCTAAGCGCACGACAAAGTTGAAAATCTGTGTTCTCATTCAAGACAACCATAGGTCGCTTATCGCACACCTGGCACAAACATTTACAAAAACGTTGGCATTGTCCGAAAGCCTGAGTCCAGGCACGAAAATCCACCTAATGCGTGTACGACAAACACATAACATGCCTGCAGCACTGCGTATGAAAGCTGCTTGATTCGCGAAATCGAGGCAGTAACGGAGTTATCCACAGTTTGTTTTTTGACAATCTAGATAGCAGTTTGGCGGTCCAGGAAGCCTGTGATCCGAAACGTTATACTGTCACGCGTTTCAAGCAACTCTCGAAAACCGAGCGGGTGGACAGCAGTCTGTGGCGAACGCTGGGCCGGCGGTCGGATGTCGTTTGCATTCCTGCTTTCTGTGCTGGCGGGTTCTGTGTGCTGTGTCTCTGGCGGCAAGCGGATTGATACGTCGGCCGGACGCCGGGCTCAGGGCCCAGCAGCCGACAGCGCACGGCCTGTCGCCGCTCCGGCTCGGCGTCCAGCCGGCTCAGCCGCGCCGTCACCAGGTCACACAGGGCAACAGCGCAGTCTGGCCGGCGCGGCACGGCGTGCTGAGCCGCTGTGGCCTCGTCGGTGAGCAGCTGGCTCTTGGGGCACCCGGTCCACCTCCGGACATGTCAGGTTGAGACTCGTCCATCAGCACACGCGCTCAGATGGCACTAGCTGCCCGGACAGCAGCCAAGTGGATGTTGTCACTGGCAAGCTACTGGGCATGAGAGAGAAGATCCACCGATTGTGGAGCACCCTGGTGGAGGATTTGTCCTCGGCCGAATTTCGGGTGACCAGGCCAACGGCGCGTGGGGACTATTTAGTGGCACAGTTTTAATATCGGCCCTCCACGCGCTCGAACGCGTCCTTTAGCAGCCCGTGGCCAGACAATCTACTTACTTACAGCAAAAAGATCTGCAGCTGAGATCGGCTCCAACGCTCCGCTTGTGCGATCACTACCTGTCATGCGCCCCGCCGCGTCAGCGACGGGCGCAGGACACATATGGTGGGCACCGGACTTAAGACAGGCGACGAAGCTCCCGTGCGAAGACCGGACATGGTCCAACACCTATCCGCACGAGGCATGGCTGCAACTTCACCAGTGTTGGGCTAGCGGCGATGGGGGTTGATCTCCAGTAGCCCAGGTTTCTTAACGGGCCAGGCCGGACGTGACGGCCGAAGCGCACCTCGTTGGCGGCCGTTTCCAGGCGCCGAGCGGCGGTGATGGCGGTGGTAACAGCGGCTTCTGATAGTTCAGGGCGCAGCTGCGGCGGTGAGGCGCTCAGCAGTGCCCAGAGCCGTGCCTGTTGCGGGTGGGGTGAGGGTGAGGGTGCGGGTGCAGGTGCGCGGCCACCCCCAGCGCGGATATTGCGCCGAGGCCGCTGCCGCGCGCCGGCAGGATCCGGTCGGCGGCCAACGCTGCCGCGCCATATTGCCAGGCAGGCCATCCCCGTGTCGTCGCGACACAGCGCCAGCAGGTCGCACTTCTGCGGCTGACTTCAGATGAAAGCTCTTCAGCAGCTGCGTGCGTGCGT